CTCAGCAAAACCAGCTGTTGCCAATGCTATTCTTTGAGTTATGATAAAACGCATATCTTCTTTTTATTAGAAGTTGCAGAGCACCTCATCTGAAGGCAAAGCAACTTTAAAGTATTCATATTTTCCAACGCCTATCTCATTTACTCCTGAGTGCTACAATCAAGATCGAGTTCGAACCCCATTTATTGTTGAATTTTGTTGAAATCACAAAGTCTATTGAGCTAAAGTATTGTTTTCTATTGCGATGATGACTAACTCTACGTTTTGACAATTGTTCAACCCCGAACTGGGCCAAATATCTACTGATTTGCCTGAATTTATATGAAATATCATAAATGATCTGTTTTTTTAATTTTCTTTACAAAATTCTTGAGCGATAGTTATATTTAATTTCGATCGATTCTGGAAGAAATTCTGCTTTAAGGATAATGAGAAATTTTACGTTTATCCCGTCCTTTAATTTTCTTAAATTAGGCCAGTTTGAACGTTTTGGCAATGTGGTTGATTGCATATACGATGCTTACTCCTTGGATGAACGTGTCTCTCGAATCCCTTATCACGCTTTAAGTCCTACAGAACGAGAAACCTACAATGGTCGTCGGACTGTAATGGTTCACTTGGCTAAGCGCATCAGAGACGCCGTCGTTGCTAGACAGGTTGTACGATCTGGCCGTGAGTCTTGAGCATAACTATTGGCCTTTTAAATTTATTTTACACATGTGGGTTTATTTAGTTTCAACATTTCTGACGCATTATTGAGGTGATAATCATATTTTAGCAAGTAATTGCAGAAAATCTCATCTGAAATATGACGAAGTTGTAAGGAAAGCCTATGTGCCAACCTTTTATAGGTTATGCTTAGTTGAATTTGTATTGGCTCATTTAGACGGAAGATGTAGGAAGTGAGTTTCTCCTATGACTGCCCAAAGCACTTGGATTATAAATTGGCCTATGTTAACTTTAAAGAAGCTGATGCCATGCCCAACGAAGCGTATGACTTGTATTTTGGGGCGAGGGAAGAGAGCTTCATATCTTCATCGAAGCCAGAAATGGCATTCTGGTATGCTAAACTTCAGACAACTAACTTCGGAAATAAGCTGTCATTTTGACGGCTTGGGTTTCCAATTGTAAGTGGCTAGTATCATGACAGAATTTTAAATGGAAGCAAATGATATGGGCACGGTAGCGCCCCAAACATCTGGGGCTAAACGGAGCTTAACTTTAAAATTCTCACATAAAAGAGAGAAGCTTACTAGCAAGGGATTAGCAATCTGCAACGAAAATTAATGCCACCTACTTCTTTTACCGGGGTCAACTGCTGCAAATAATGGGCTAAATTAAATTAATTAGATGACTAGAACTTTACCAGGATTATTTTTATTACTCCATAGCAAATTTCACTAGTAGATTGACGAAGAGAACATTTAGGCCCTCTTGAAACCCACTGAAATGAATTTGCCTGAATTTTATAGCCTTTAAATGGAACATCGTTTTTGTCATTTGGTAATGCTTAAATTAAAACACAATTAAAGAAGTTATGCATGTATTAACCTACTATATTCATATGTTTTTTTTAGTTGACATGAGAGAAGAAAATGAATTTAGTGTTAGTGTTGAGTAAGTTATAATAGGATAATTTTTATACAAATCTTTCCAACTCACTTTAAAATGCACTCTTCAGGAATTAGAAATATTTTCACTGTGTGAGCCAGAGATTGGAAATAAACTCGTGATTGTTTCCCTAGGCCTCACAAATTCGCCTTAGAATTCAGACTTGATTTATTCTTATCTAATAAAGCTTGCATAATATCATCTGCTCTCATATCCAAATACGAACGCACTTTTAGGACCTAATAAAAATCGAAACGAAGATTATGTCATCTTTCCAGTGGCTTTTTCTATCGGATTTTTCCATGCCACATTAGTATCACTTCTCACGTCTAACCACCGATTCTGATTTACTGAGCGCAACCCTCTTTTTTATGACAGCTTCAGGTTATGCCACGTAGGTAAAGACGCAGATTTTTTTTAAACAGCTTTGCTTCATCTTTACGATATTAAAACATGTCGGCCAAGTGTACTGATGGAATTTAAATCTCAGAAGAAAAGCTATTTTTTTGACAACGAATAGAATAAGCAATGCAAATGTTGGATATAAAGGGTTTGTGAATTGACCTTGCCTGAAACGAATGAAAGTTCTTTTAAGACTGCATGATAGGCAGCATTAGAAGGAACACCAGGGCAATTCATCAAAAGGGACTATAACCGCCATCGAGGACTAGAGAATTTTCTAAAAGTATGTGGACAAGAAGTGGGTTGACCTCATTGTTGCAACTTGGTCTTGTTGTGAGAGAGACTTAATAGAACGCACCTAATCCGAATTCGTCTGCCATAATAGTTGTCATGATTCCCAGCATTAGATAGTGGACTTGGTACATTTTCAAACGTTTCGCTGGCATTATAGTCGGCATCATCAGTGAGTTTTGCCATTCTTTGCACCAAGCTACGCGCTCGTCAGAGACAAGTCTTGTCTCTTTGTGTCGGCGAAACGTTTTGAGAATGTACCAAGCCCATTATCTGATGCTAGGAATCATGGCGACTACTATGACAGACGACTTCGGAGTAGGTGCGCTCTACTAAGTTGCCCTGGCAACAAGACCAAGTTGCGACAACAAGGTCAACCCACCTCTATAAATCGAAATTAGAATGCGACCATACCAGAGGCCACAACATCTTGTTGTTCATATCTGGATAAGGTTTCAAATAGGTTTTTTTTTGCCAATGGGATAAGATCGAGGACTAGGATTTTATCTTAAGAACAAAATCGCCCGCAAAGATTTAAGTACCCAAAGGTCAGAAATAGCCGAATATATGACCGAAATCAGGACTCCAATTAGTGGCTTAAAACCTAACGTTCTGCAGCGAATAAATTTAATTTTTTTTAAAGCATCATGCAGAGGTATGAGTGGGGGTAGAAAGAGAGCAGAAACTGCTTCTGGTCGTTTTGGCAGATTTAATGAGAACGAACCACAGAGAAAGAGGCTTGATTAACTTACTTTTTTTGGCTCTAATATCTCACTATCACCCCTTAAAGGCAACACACATGCAACCATACAATTAACCGTAGTAATCCAATTTTTGTGTATATGAAACAGCCAAGGCCATATCCACTTCATCTTAATGTGTCAGTTTCACTCACCTTTAAGCGTATAGGGTAAGCATGAAGTAGCCAAGTGATGGAATTCTCATAATAGGGTTACAATAAATAGGTAGAATCTCTGCTTTAGTTCGTAACTGATTTCCTGCTCCTGCAATGTTCGTCACACGATGGACGAAAAATCAGGAAGGATTCTTAGGGTCATGGGACATTGCGCTGAGGAATCCTTAACATGAATTAATATTTGCACCTTATTTGGTTTCCAAAAAGGCTAATTAAAGAATAACCCATCCAAACTTTTAACATTAATGCACATTTAGACTAATTTAAATATACTGGAAAGGTGTTCTTCTTTGGAATTCACCAAAGCTGATCTATGACTGTGACAATTTATCCAACTTCATCATTTTGGTCTTATTCCATCCTTTCTATGTTAGCCAAACCTTTTCTTTTTAATTTAAATTGGACTTCGGGTCAGCCTGCTTTATCTTATGATTTTCAGTCAGCCTAACTAT